GAGGAGGGCGGGGGGGGTGGAGTGAGATGGGAGAAAACCTGATGGTTAGGGGGGGAGGCTGGTGGCAGTCGATTGAGGCGGGGACACTAGGTGGAGTGGGGTGCTGCGGGAAAGGGATGGGATGCACTCCGGAGTGGGATGGGATCTACTCGGGGTGGGATCTGCTCGGGGATCAAGTGGAATTGAGTCGGGGGCGGGGTAGGATAGGGGTTGTATACGGGGTGGAATCGGTATAAAGACGTAAAACGAGGTCGGATTGGGGGGCGTTACTCGCCGTGTGGCCTGGATCGGAGGGGAGGACCGTGGAGGGGACGGGGATCCTTCGAGGATAGAGGTGTGTTCAGGGTAAGGGTGGAATCGAGGCAGGAGGAATGCTCAGGATCGGGACTGTGTAAATTAACAAGGGCGTTGGGAACGGGGTAGAGGTGGAGAGGAGGGTGATCCAAGAAGGGTGTGGGTTGGAGGCTCGGGTGAAGACAAGGGATGTGAGAGTGTGTGGCGAGGTGGGATCGTGAACCAGTTGGGGACTGGTGTGCTGGGGGCAAACTCGGGATATGGTTGGAGAGGGTGTGGGGGTTCCGTAGACTGAATAAGGGGGGAGATGATATGAGGTGACGTGGATGGGGCGGGTGGACTGAACCTGGTTGAGGCGGGTGCGCGCGGCAGGGTGGGGGGGATCTGGAGCGAAGTGGTATCGAATTGGGAGTAGGCTATGATCCAATCGGGGTTGGGACAGTAGAATTAGGATCGAGAACGGGATGTGAGCAGGGACGGGAGCGGGGGCGGAATCGTGGTAGGGACGGGCACAGGGACGGGAGCGGGGACGGTATCGTGGCGGGATCGGGATGGGGTCAAGATTGGGTTGGGATCTAAAACGGGTTGTGCTCGCGGTAGAACGATCGTGTGAATATAGGGGAGAGTGAGGGGCGGGAGAGGAGGAGGTGAGCTGTGGTGGGAAGACCCTTGGATGGATTGGGGGAGATGTGGGGTGAATTCGATCGGGTTGGGGCCGGAGTAAGGTCGGGGATCGGCGTCGTAACTGAGTAGGGTTGGGGAAGGGGGTCGGGATGGGGTTGGGTTCGGGGTGGGGAAGGGGACCTGACAGAATCAAAGTTGAGGTTGGGTCAGATATTGTTTAGGTACGAGGTCGGGATGGGTGGTAAGAGGCGAAAGCTACAGTGGGACCGTAGGGTAAGAGGGGGCAAGCTCGGAGATGGGCAGAGATATGATTGCTGGAAACTGGGCGAGTAGTGCGCATAGAATGTCAGTAGTGTGGCGAGTCGGGAGGGTGGAGAAGGGTAAAAGAAGAAGGGGGGTTTGGTATTGTCCAGCTCTCACTTTGCCGTATTCTGGTAGTGCAGGGTTATTCTGGCGCCGCGTACTGTTGAACTCGTATGCCGGTCTGTTGTTGTCCTTTCCTAAACTTAGTAGCGCTCCACTTCTCTTCGTTGCTTCACCTTCCCTCGCCGTTCCTCCTCCCTCTTCTCCCTTCTCCTCTTTTCTCTTGCTAGGTTGCGGGTGGCCACGCCCGTGGGCGTGGCGTCGAGTGGTGTGTGTCTTTTCCTCGTTTCCACCTTCTAAATTCGTATTCGAAGCGTGATGATGTGCGCGCGTGGCGAGAGCGTTCGTCGTTTCGTGGGCTTCGCAAGTTGACGCAGTCTGTGCGTAGCTCGACTTGTCTTTCTCTCCTTTTGTCTTTTCCCTACCCTCCCCCTGCTCGCGCTCGTACTCGAACCCGAAGGGTGGTCGTCTCTTCTTTTGTCCTTTCCCTTTCTTAGTTCTGTCTCCCCCTCCCTTCTCTTTCCCCTCTTCCACTCTCTTGAGGGGACTTGTTTGTGTTTCTTCCTTTCACCCCCCGTCGTTGTTGTCTTTTCCTGTACTTAGCTGCACCCCACTTCTCTGTTGTTCTCGTAGTCGTCGCTGTTCCTCCCTTCCTTCCTGTACCTCCCCTTTCTCTCTCCTTCACTTCCTGTCGTCTGCTTGATTGCGAGTGGCCACGCCCGAGGGCATGGCGAGGAGTGGTGCACTCACTGCTCCCAGTTTCCCGCCCTGCTATTTCGAATCCGAATCGCGATGAAGCGTGCGCGCGATGAATCGTGATGATACACGCGTGCGGTGCGCGTTTCGGCGTCGAGTGAAAAATTCACCGTGGCGCGGTCGCGAAGTTTAGCGCTCGGAAATAGCGCTAACCGGTCGGGCGCTAGCGCTCCTCGTACTCGTGTTGGAACAAGCCTTGGAGGTGCCCGCCCTAAGTGAAGGCGGGCCTGGCTTTTTGCAAGAGGCCCTCATCTGTCAATTTCATATTTAGGGTCCAGGCAGTTGCGACGCGCCAGTTGGTTGAAAGAAACACAGGCCGAGCAACAGAGACATTTCCACGGCCTTCCGGGCCTTTCCAAAGAATGCAGGCCCTGGGCGTGATTCGCAGCCTCATACAGAGACAGTTGGGCGCCCAACCGAACGAGGCCTAGCAGCCCAGTAGCTGCTGCATCCAGGCAGCCTCCTGGGGCCTTCCGAAAGCTTCTGGGCCCAGGCCAGCCCAGCCAGGCTGCTCGAGCAGGCCAGTTCTTTCCATAAAGGAAAGAGCTCTGGCCAGGCAGCCTCATTCAGGCACTCGCATGCTAGCGGCAGCGCTGCTGGAGCAAAGGCTCGCGTCTGCTGGCTGGCGCTGAGAGGCGAGGTGCAGCACGTGCGGTCGTGCAGGGAAGAAGGGCGCTGCTGAGGGCAGCGCCATAGCCCAGCCACCATAGCTGGTGGGCTTGGACTACAGTGAGGCGCAGGGGTGGTCTTCGGGGGAAACAGAGGACAGATGTGGGTGTAGTCAGGGGATAGGTGAAGGATGATGATGATGATGATGATGATGATGTGAGGACACTTACCTTGTATTGGCGATGGTCTGCATGGGCGACATCTTCAAGTACTTTGGCCTGCCGCTGATGTCAACAGTTGCATTCTCCTTTGGTCGGTTCTTGGGTTCTGCGCCATGCCCATCCGATTGCTTTCGGGCATGCGGCAGCTGTACTGTGGCAGTAAGTGATTCCTTCAACTTTAACAAGGAGTTCCCAACAAAAAAAAAAAAAAAAAAAAAAAAAAAATCCCTTCATATCATGTCAGAGCCTATGAGAGTGTCAAGATTCTTCCCCTCTCTTCTTTCGTGTTCAGTTGCGTGACTGTGATGTGCCTACTGTTGATGTTTTCTGTTCCGTGATTGCAGCGGACATTTCTTATTCAGTGACTTGGAGACACGGCTTCGCGAAGAGCTTGTTGATGCCTTCCAAGATTTGCGGGTTCCACAAAGCATTGATATTGTCAAAGAGGGGCAAATCGTAGAACACTTTTATGTTGTGGTAAGCTCGTGTTCTTTGTTCTTTCCCTCCTGTTCACTCTTTTCGCTTCCCCCCCCTTACCTTTCCTGGAATTCCTTTGCTTTTGTTTCCTGTTTTGGCAACTGCCATTACCTCCATTCCTCGATTTCTTCGCCTTCCATTCCATTTCATTTATCGCATTTTTTTTCTCTATCTTCCAGATGCTTTCAGCAAGCCTGCATGGACAACAATACTCGGACTATGGATAGATCAGGGCAAGCCGTAGGTTGTGGTACAATTACTGTTCAATCGTGAAGCAAAAATAAAAATTGAGACAAGCACATGAGCTGCAAATAAAGAAATGAAGATTAGAAGGGGTAGAGACTGTAAAAAGGGGGAAAAGCAGCAGCAGCAAACGGCGATGAAGACGAAGACGAAGGAGGAGGAGGAGGAGGAGAAGAAGAAGAAGAAGAAGAAGAAGAAGAAGAAGAAGAAGAAGAAGAAGAAGAAGAAGAAGAAGACCACTCCAATGTGACCTCCCTCTTTCATTCCAACACCTCATCATCACCCTCAAAGTCTCCTTCGTTTCGCCTCCTCGTCATCACCCTCATCATCACCTGTATCAATCAGTTACAGTCAAAGAATGAATGAATGAATGAACAAAGAACAAATATCCGAAGCAATGCTCTTGAGAAGAACTCCCTCCACCTTTCCTCTCTCCCACCACTTCACCTCCCAATAGCTCTGCTTGTATAGTCCTTCCTCCTGCTCAAACAAACGGGATGTACAAAGGACAACACATCTGAATTTCACTGCTCTTCCTCCATACAGCTCCTCCCCACTTCTGCTTGAAGTGTCTATCCAGCGGTACTTCAAATGGCCCATCTTGATGCATTGCTAATTTGCTACACTTGGAAGTGAGATGGTCATCTGCCATCTCCAAAGCTACGTGTTCACGTTGGCTTCCTCCACCTTCCTCCTCCTCCCTCCTCCTCTAGGGCTACTGGCGTCACCTACTGGCTCCAATTGCCCAGTGTGGGCCCACAACTCCATCACCATAGCCAACCTTGCTCCTTCCTCCCCCGTCATCTCTACAGACGTGGAGGTCTTCCTCTTTCGTCGCTAATCCACCACATCTCCCTCTTTCCGCTAATGCTTGCTGCCTACGCCTTGTCGGTCAGTGTATTTGAACTTGATCGGCCACTCAATGTTCACTTGCCCTATCCTACTTGATATGTTAGTAACTTAGTACACTCTCTATCCAATCTGTACTAGATAACAGGTATACTTGTCCATCGTTAGGTCTCTCTCCAACCTGTATTGGGGATATTTCCGCTCTGGTCAATACCTTACTTTAGTTCTCTCATTCCTGCACTATCCTACTTGATATGTTACTATACTGTCTATCCCACAATTGGTCAATGGGGACCCCCCCTTTCAGCTCCTGACCAACGGGTCTATCCAAGGTGTACTGAATATAGTTACCTCCCTGCAGATTTCTAGCCAAGCTGTACTGGACATAGTTCCCTCCCATACGTCTAGTGTTACCCTCTGGTCAGTATATGACACCTGGAAGCTGTCCTCACTCTGTCCAATAGATTGGAGCCCCGGACCCAAGGTGCTATTGAAGGCTCTTATCACCTCCGACAGCGACCCAATGGGCCGGAGTTAAAAACAAACGAACAGACAATCAAACAAACAAACAAACAAACAAACAAACAAACAAACAAACAAACAAACAAACAAACAAACAAACAAACAAACAAACAAACGAAGAACAAACGAACAAACAGATGGACGGACGAACAAACAAACGAATGAATGAATGCACGGACGGACGGATGGACGGACGGATGAACAGAGGGACGTATCGAGGGACAGAGGGACGGACGGCGGGAAGGAGGGAGGGAGGGAGGGAGGGAGGGAGGGAGGAAGGGAGGGAGGGAGGGACAGGCGAACGGACAGGCAGGAAGAAGTCAAAGGTGTTAAGTTTGACGAATCATCTTTTGTGAAGTGAAAAGTTGTGGTTCAGCAGGACCTGTCTGTATCTGGAGATGGATAAGGCGTATAACCCTTCAGCCCAAGAAAACAAAAATGTCGGGTGTCCTTCCATCATGAAAAGTGAAATACCAGGGGACGGGGGTACATGCCCCTGCGGGTGTGGCTGCACGTAGTAATGGAGATTTGGCACTTTCCAATGATAAACATGACTAACAGAAAGCTCCGTGTGATTTGTTTCTCAACCCAACTTCAGCTTGTAAGTCGAAATTGAGAACAGCCACGTTGTAGATGCAGACCCCAGTTTGTCGAGACCCGGTTTTCTTTGAGAAAGGGCGACGGCCCTGAGATATCAACGTTGAACTGACCTGCCCTAGGTAAATCAGAATTATTTTGGATTCGAAATCTGGTCTGCATTGCGATAGTTCATGGGTGTACCAACTGAGCTAGACTCGTTGGTAGTTTGTTGAGAGTTCCTGACCCTACAGAAACCTGATTTGAGTGTTTTGTAAAGAGCACTGAGCAGATAATACTCACATTTTTCTCAGAGTGTTTATCGAGTCTTTGATTGCACATCATTTCGTACACATGAACAACATAGGGGCCTCGCCGCACTACTCACCAAATGCACAAAAGACAAAAATGATCGCGTTGCATGTCCATGTTCTAGCGGAAGATTCGTTCTCATTTTGTGCATTTGGTGAGTAGTGGGGCGAGGCACATAGTCACATGAAAACCGGTTTGCATGATCATACGTTGTGATAGTTGCCCACCTGGGCCCCCTCTGTGTAGAACAGAAGGCTAATTGTCAGAAGTTCTCAGAACCAATTCAGGGTAGCGATTTTTCTGCTTATTTCTCGTTTTGTCCTGTCTCTCCTGATGACATGTGGGAATGGATGGTTGGATTCACTGCGATACACTGTTTGGCAGGACATCGGCGAGCTTGAGATCCTGAAAAGCCAGGTAACAAGGATCATATCAGTTGTAAACCCATGTTTTCTCATGTTTTCAACCAGTTCCATAGAGTAGGATGGAATGAGATGCCACATATATTGGTGTCCCCGACAGATGCGACAGATGTACAGCAAGTCCACATTTTGTGCGCCCATAAGCCCACTATGATGACCTAAGCTGTCCAACAATGCCAAGAAATGACACCACTGGTTAACAGGGCACGTTTTGTTAAAAAGGCGTTCGTTTTTTTTTATTTTTAAATGGCATGTCAAACACGTTGAAAATTCGGGCCTCAGTTAACTGCCTCTCACAGAGAGAGAGAGAGAGAGAGAGAGAGAGAGAGAGAGAGAGAGAGAGAGAGAGAGAGAGAGAGAGAGAGAGAGAGAGAGAGAGAGGAGGAGAGAAGGGTGGGGAGGGAAGCCTATACTTTGGTGTTGGCAGGGAGATCTTTCGATCATTTATTTTTGTTCATTCATCATTCATGTATAAACTTAATGTGGGGCAGACAAATGAGGGTGGTCACTCTTTTCGTACTCTTGTCTCATTCTCTTTTTGTCTTTCGCTTATCTTGATTGGAGCTGTAATGCACTGTGTCTATGATGGAACTTTGTGTGTTGCAAGTGTGAATGGACTAGCATCATAGCGCGTGGACCTGATTGTCTATTTCTCATGGTAATCTTCCCCTTGATAAAGTAGCAAAACGGAAATATATATTTGTTTGATGGCTGCCTTCATGTCATTCAGGAGAACACAAGTTCTCCTTGGCAACAAGTTTATTAAATGGCGAAAGTGCAAGGAGTCGGGTCCTCCACTATCATCTACATGCCTCTGCTATACTTTATATTCAGAAACCGATGCATAAATTGGGGTTGATAGTGGAGCAGAACACAGATTCGAAGTGTCCCTCCCTACAAGATGAGCATCTGACAGCCCAGCCTTTTCTTAAATGGTGATCTCCATAAGAGTGAACTGTAGCTACTGTCTTCACACACATCTGATGCTCCATACGAAAAATGTGTCAGTATGAACAAGTCATACATGTGCTGTGCCCCTTCACGACTAACACCAGACATCCTGTAGGATGAGATTACCAATGACATAGAAATCGCCAAACCTTGCAAAGCCCACACACAGGGGGATCCATTCCGAATTGTCTACGTGGGGGCGTGGAAAACGCAGCCCTAAAGGACTCTTTTTTTTTTTTTTTTTTGGTTGTGTGTGTGTGTGTGTGTGTGTGTGTGTGTGTGTGTGTGTGTGTGTGTTATGATACGTTACCCATGGCACAAAACGCCAAGAACCCCACAGCAAGCTGTGATACGACCGTTCAGACCACAGGCTAATACTTGCATCCGGACTTACGCTCTTCATCATGGGGAGTAGCGATAGAGGCCCGCTGGGTGATGTACTACGGACATAGGCTAGCAAGACCATTCTCAAAACAACAAGAAAAAACAACCACCAAGAAACAACAGGCAAAGCAGCAAGACATGAGTACGGAGGCAACACATAGGCCAGAGGGCACGGGGGAAGGGGGGAGAGCAGACGACACACAAGGTACTAAGGGAAAGACATGAGGTGAGAAGGCATATTAGGATGATAAGCAGCAGCGAAGGACAGGCTGGAGGGCACGGGGGAGGCGCGAGGACGACACACAAGGCACTGAAGGGGGAACGATATAAAGCGTCAAGGCATAGAATGATAACCAGCAGCAAAGACATGAGGCAACAAGGCATAGGACGATAAACAGCAGCAACAAAGACATGAGGTGACAAGTGCAAGGAACATGAGTATGGACGAAGCACAGAAATCCAGAATGCAAAATCACACTGAAGTCCAAGTATTCAAAGCCAAAGCAGATAGCACATGGGACCGAGTAACCATCCCATTGAGAATGATACAGAAGAATCGTGAGTCAATGTCCATGCCCAACAGGGCAACACCAACAGCATAACCCAAATGTAGCTCTCTCTTGTGAATGGCGCCAGGCGCCCTATCTACTCTACAGCCTATCCTACAACTACAGCAATGAACAGCAACCAGACAACTTGACTACCAGTGAGTGATGATGTCAACACCAATGCCGTATTCCACCATCACCAGGTACGTGTCATCTTCCCCACACTCTCCCTTGTTACCCACACAGCGCCCTTCACCTCCGAAGTACCACCTTC